TACAAAATTAAGATGCGGGGACCACTACTTTTGGTATGCCCTAAGTAATTGTGTTATATAATTGTGTTACACAATTGTGTATGCTTTGTTAGTTCTCTCACAGAAATTTCTTTTGTGCTTTTTGATAAAGAAAAAAAACTTTTTTAATGTAATTTTTTTCTTTATTTTGGAGATTTGAGCAAGAATTCGATCGAAAAGAAAAAAAATAGACGCTGAGCCGAAAACGGTCGTCAGGTCGAAAATGCTACTTGATACAATAAATATCAAAATATCTGATCAAATTAGCAGTAAACAGATCAACCTATTTCAAATCAAGGATACGAGGCAATCTATTAGCCTCAATTTTTGCTTTTCAGCAACTGATCTTTTTATCGATAGGGTCCCTTGAGTTGAAATAAATAAAGAATAGATGCAGAATTCATTTGCTCAAGCGTTTCGTACTTATTAAAATAAGTACCGCTCGTCGTATATGATTCGTTCAATCCTCGACTGTAGTATTTAGTATCTATAGCGAACCTCCCACATATTTCTAGTTCTTAACGAGTATAAATAGTTGTATACTTGTCAGATTGCTTGGATTCTTGAAATTCGTCTGTAATTAACGTTTTCTTAATCGTTCGATGCATTCATATTCTTGTGCTTTTATTCAAAGTCAGCAGATGTTTTAACGAATAATTGCGGAAAAAATGAGTAGCTATCAAAAACCTGACTATTTTCATATCAAATGATTCGATTTCACGTCGTTTTTACCAATTACTTTTTTCTGTAGAGACTTTAAAATGCAATTGAAGTTAATTAGTATCATCTTTCTTTATGTACTGAGATTAGATGAGGTGCTGCTTCGCCCACAGTAACTTTGAAAAGTACCACTGATCCTTTCAGCGACAATAAAAGCACCTTTCTGATTCCATTTTGCTTTAACTTCAACGAAACTGGATTCAATGGCTTTTCATTACTTGATTTTATTTCTACTCAGGTAATTAGAAAAGCTTTCATCGTTCTATTCACCCATTACCTCGTTGTGAATCTAGTGTATTGACGGCACAAGTTAACTCTCAATTGTGCCATGGAATGCCTCAATATGGTCGTTGTTCTTCAAATACTGCATGTGGATGTTTTCATATGGAGGGCGCTCCGAACATTGGTGTTTGTGGCTTCAAGTGGGTTGATTGTCTTGATTTAAATCCTTGTGATCTAAATGATGGTAGTTGTCCTGAAGCTGATCAGATTTGCGTTAAGCATCCACGATGCAGTATTGCTCCTGTTTGTTATCCTGCATCAATGATTCAATCAACAGTTTGTCCATCAACCAAACGTAAGAGAGAAAATATTCAAGGATAAATGTTTAAAGACATCTTGTAAGGAATGCTTTGATAAATTTTTGTTTTGATACCTAGCAGCAAGTACTACATCGACAGCTACAACAGCGACTACAACTGAAAAATCTGGTAAATATCTTCAACATAAATGAGTAACATTCATAATAATTCATTTGTAGTGTTCGTCCCATTACGTGCAAGCAAGGTTGATATTCCCCCGAATCCAACATGGCAAACAGAGGGTATTACAGTAGCTGAAGGATATATATTACCCAATGGAACGAACGCAACCAATAATCTCTACTTTCCGATGGGTATATTTGTTGCAGATGACGAAACATTTTATGTCACTGATCCGAACAATAATCGAGTTATGGAGCTAAAATCAGGCGTAACCACTGGAAAAGTTGCTGCTGGTGGAAACGGGAGAGGCAACGAGGCTAGTCAATTATCCGGTCCAACAGATGTGATTGTTGACAAACAAACAGATAGCCTTATCATTTGCGATAATAATAATAAACGAGTAGTTCGATGGCCTCGTGTGGGTGGTAAAAGCGGAGAAACCATAATACCAAATGTCAATTGTTATGGTATCACAATGGACGAAGATGGAACATTGTATACTGTTGGGTACGACACAGATGAAGTGAAACGATTCCGAAAAGGAGAAACACAAGGTACCGTAGTTGCCGGTGGTAATGGACGTGGAAATGCTGCCAACCAACTCAATTGGCCACAATACATCTTTGTCGACCGAGATCGTTCAATTTACGTAACTGAATTTTACAGTAATCGTGTGACAAAATGGGTAGAAGGTGCAAAAGAAGGAATCGTCGTTGCTGGTGGTAACGGACGAGGAAATGCTCTTAACCAATTAGCAGGTCCTCAAGGAGTCCTTGTCGATCAATCGGGCGCTGTATACGTAGGAGATGGTGGCAACGGTCGAGTCGTTCGTTGGCCTAAAGGAGCCACCGAAGGTATTGTCATAGCTGGTGGAAATGGATCAGGAAAACAAGCGAACCAACTCGCCTATTCCTATGGTATGTCATTCGACCGGCAAGGCAATCTTTACGTTGTTGATCATTGGAATAGTCGAGTACAAAAATTTAACATCGTATAAAATATTTAAGAAACGTTTTTTTTGCTTTTCTGCACTTAATATACAACAAATAAACAGAGTCGCGCTCAAATATAACCTACGGCGCGAAAGTCTTGGTACAAAATGTTCGCTAATCGTTGGTCACTTAGAAACGATTATTGAGAACCAAAAGCAGTCAGTCATACTCAGAATTTTGTGCTCTTTTAGAATATATGTGCAGAATTTTCTTTCGACGTAACCTAGATTAACTATGAGATATTTTTTTCATTGGGTACAAAATGACGTCTGTACATAACAAAATAGGGAATTTTTCGTAATTCTTTGTTTGTGCAACTTGTATTTTTTGAACAGCTGTCACCGGACATTACCATAGATTATTCAATTCTCTACAAAATGAGCTATTTCAATAAGCAAAATCTCAAAGCGCTCAAAAGTTATGTATTTTTTCCGAAGAGCTACTTTTCATGCAATCTGACGTTTATTAAAAACTCGATTTTGGAAAACTGTTTTTTTTTTTAATGTAAAGTATTTATAATCTTTAGTGCGAGATAAAACTGAAAGCAAATAGTTCATTTTGTAGAGCAAAGTTTGCTCTAGAAAACTGAACTATTGGAAAACACTTTTACGTTTTGTATTAAATAGATTTCGGTCAAAATACGGAATTGAACAAACTAAAATTCGGTACAGACGTCATTTTGTACCCAATGACAAAAATATCTCATAGTTAATCTAGGTTACGTCGAAAGAAAATTCTACACATATATTCTGAAAGAGCACAAAATTCTGAGTATGACTGACTGCTTTTGATTCTCAACAATCATTTCTAAGTGACCAAAAAATTAGCGAACATTTTGTACCAAGACTTTCGCGCCATTGGTTAATTTTATCGTCCACAGGTAAATAATCACTGATTCACAGAATATGTGCCCTTTGCTAATATGATAAATCAGCGCATATTTATTATGTTTTGCATGTTACATTTACTTCTCATTAGAAGAAAAATTATTGTTGTGTTTTAATGGTGCAGATGGGAGATATAGGTGATAAAACATAGAGCTATACTTTTTCTTTCATTTTTTGTTAACTTTAATCACCATCATTCAACATCATTTATATTGCAATGAAAGAAGAGACAATTTTCAGAATTGCTTTTCGCTACGAGTATCCTGACTAGTGTATGTTAAATGATAATTTTCCTTCATTCGACAATACGTATGTGCCCGGAAATAGACAACTCAATAACTAATGTCCATTTCAAAAAAGAAGATCCCTGGCCATTTTTCGAATAACTTTTCACAAGAATAAGATAGAGAGCTGTGGTTTTCACCATTAGAAAGAGGAGATCGAGCTGCATCGAACCATATGTTCTGTCACATTTCCAGAGGTTTTATTGAGGATTTTTGATAAAACTTTTTAAAAACGTATGAATTTCTTCGAATGACAACCACATTTTTTGGACTTTTAAGAGTGTATTCGAACCGGCAGCTCACGCGCTACAAGACTAGCTATTTTCCAGATTTCTAGCTCATGTGGTTCAAGAGTTATAAGCACGTTTTTTCTAGTCTTTTCATGAATTTTCAAGATGTTTTTGAAGATACACTCGATTCTAGTCGATTTTTTGTAAGAAGCTTTAGCTGTTCGATGATACTGACGAGGGAACAGCTAGAAGTGATTCACCGCTTTTGAGCTCATATTTTGTATGTATAGAAGAAACCTCTAGACTAGAATAACCCTAAACGGATTCGGGTCCATAGGTCTTCCCCACAGAGTTATAACAATTTTAATTGAGTTTTAGCCTATGGCACGCTATGTATAAACAAATCGACTGATGATATTTCGATCTGAAATTTTGTCCATAGATAGGCCTACTTGTAATTAGAATGCCCTGAAAATTTTGGCTCAAAAGAATGTTTCCTTTGCGAGATATTGAATGTCGATAAAACATGAGATTCTCGCATCTTTTATCGGATCTGAGTGATTGCTGAAAATTCAAAATTTCGCGAAGCAAACATTCTTTTGCGCCGAAATTTTCAGAGCATTCTAATTACAAGTAGACCTATCTATGGACAAAGTTTCAGATCGAAATACCATCAGTCGATTTGTGTTATACATAGCGTGTCATAGGGTAAAATTCAAGTAAAATTGTTATAACTCTGTAGAGGAGACCTGTGCACCCGAATCCGTTTAGGATTATTCTAGTATAGAGGTTTCTTCTATGCATCCAAAATATGAGTTCAAAAGCGGTGAATCACTTCTGGCTGTTCCCTCGTCAATATGATCGAAAAGGTAAAGCTTCTTACGAAAAATCGACTAGAATCGAGTGTACCATCAAAAACATCTTGAAAATTCATGAAAAGACTAGAAAAAACGTGCTTATAACTCCTGAACCACATGAGCTAAAACTCTGGGAAATAGCTAGTCTTGTAGCACGTGAGCTGCCGGTTCGAATGCACTCTTAAAAGTCCAAAAAATGTGGTTGTCATTCGAAGAAATTCATAAGTTTTTAAGAAGTTTTATCAAAAATCCTCAATAAAACCTCTGGAAATGTGACAGAACATATGGTTCGATGCAGCTTGACCTCCTCTTTCTAATGGTGAAAATCGCAGCTCTCTATCTTATTCTTGTGAAAAGTTGTTCGAAAAATGGCCAAGGGTCTTCTTTTTTGAAATGGACATTAGCTTTATTGGTATAAAAGTTATACATGTTCTTTTGACCTGTTATCTGACGTCACATGGGATATTTCAAACAAATCGTCCTTATTATGATTATTATTCACAGCACAGGTAATTCCATACCATTTAATTCTTGCGGCAGTATATTCATTTGTTTTCTAAATTAAACTAACTATAAATAACTGTTACAAGAAAAATAAGAACACTGGAAAATTTATAATTTTTCCAGAACACATTAAAATCGAGTATGTGGATCGCATAAAATTTTGATTAGCGTTACGGAATTGAAAAAGTTGCCTGAATTCTAATTTCTTCTGTGAGTAAGTCTTCTGTCGGAATGTTTTTTCTCCTTATTCTTGTTTCTTTAGCTGCGATAATCAGGAATAAGAAAGATATTGAAAAGGGTGTGGGTGGGCGTGGGTGTGGGTGTGGGTGTGGGTGTGGGTGGAGTGTGGGTGCGGGGGGTGTGGGGTGTGTGTGTGCCTGTCAAACATAAGTGCATCCACCCACCCACCCCTACACTCACATCCACACGTTCATTTCACTGCAGTTTTTGACGTTTGTTTGGTGGCTTGATGAGAGAAATCAACATTTCATTTTATACTATTACTATTACTATTTGAACAAAATCTCAGATTGTTGTTCAAAACATTTTTTCATTTCATTTAAATAAAAATAGGTTATGTGATCAGCGATTTCTTTTCTAAAAGTCAATATAGAAGATGAAATATTTAGAACTGTCAATGCTTTGTTTTACTGAGTGTGGGTGGCTGGATATGGGCGTGGGTGTGGTGTTACTTTTGTCGTAATCCACACCCACCCTCCCACACCCACACCCATACACGCACATCCACCCACACCCAACCACAGCTAACCACACGCATATCCACGCACCCACACCGATATCCACCCGCCCCCACTCACACCCCACACGCTTCTCATCATTTCACATATCGTTGGTTTTGCAATAACTCGATACGGCTTTATACAAGTGAAAGCCTTTCCAAAGACATAAGCTGTGTAGATGCTGCAGTAAGAGTTGTCCCATTGGTTGAGTCAATATTTTTTCCTTTCATCACAGTCGACGTCATTATTCTTGCTTGTATCAACAGTATTATGTCGCTGATAAGTATTATATTTTCTTCAACCTTTTTCTTTTACATTAATATTAGTTATTAGGTATTCATTAATTTCTCATTGTCATCTGCATTAATAAAACATTCTCTTTTGATATTAGAGAAAACAGTTGTAGAAATGGTGGCAAACTGGAACTAACATTCATTTCTTAATTGTCACCATCTTACATTGATATAGATCGTTGCTTTTATGGAAGCTAATCGTCTTCTGTTAGCTGATTTCGATTGGAAAAATTTGACAAAGATATGTATCCATATAGAAAGCAACAAATTTTACAATACATTTCAAAATTTATTTTCAATAATTGATTGAAATATTTATTTTATGACTGCTTTTTTGTCTGCAATATTTTTATCATCTTTTATGATGGATTGATTATATATAGAATATGTGAACTTTTTACTATGATGCCATTTTCAGTCAAGTTCTTTGGCCTGACACCATCATCATTAAAATGAATCGATATATTTCATGATTTTTCGAATTCAAGTGCCAGAAATTCTTTGATTTTAACTGAAATATAATTATTTTTCCTGTCAAAATTTTCAGTTCATGTGTCTAATAATGTGGGTCGACATGGATCGTGTGGGTTATTCCTTCATCATCATCCATACCCACATTGTCACCACACACACTCACACTCATACGTACATACCCACACACCACACTTCGGATTTCATTATGAAATTAAAAACTAATATTTTTCTTTTACTGGATGAGATATCGATTCAATAGCATCGATTTGAAAAACGTTCTCAAATACGGATCGACATGAATACTTGTAGACAACCATTGTCGTTCAATTTTATTTTTCATTATAAAATCAAAAAAATAAACAAATCTAGTATTGTTAGTATTCGCCATTGAGAGTCATAGATCTGTATTAAAACGAAACGGTTTTTTTCAGTATTTCTGAATGAAGTAAATAAAGATTAGCTTATGCTAAATGCAGCGACTTCTACAATTTTTGTTGTTTCTTTATCTTTATCCAAAACCGAAAACGTTCTTATTCTTGAACATTTCTTTTCCACCAAGCTGGATATTTTGGTAATGGAATAACTGGTACATTCTTATTAGGATCAGTCTCTTCTTCCAGTTCAATTTCATATTTAGAATGATGGCTATGCTTTTGAATATTTATCACTCGGAATGCTGTCGATGGCATGATCAGAACTTCTTCTTCATCTGGAAATTCCGATACTTCTTCGAGATCAATACTTGATTGTCGATCGATAATTTTATATATGCAAAGAACGGGAAATGTACTTCGATCAGTGGGATCATCATTCCAACCAGAAAATATTTCCGCTATAGAACGATTTTTTTATGTTGATAAAAACGCTTTGTTAACAATTGCTATACCGATTTTATACGCTCGCAGATCTTTCTTGTTGATTCTCATTCCTCGATATGTTTGACCTTGATAACGATATGGTTCTGGAAAAGAATTTCTACATAACATGCCTGCAAAATAAACTGCCCAAGGCATAATCACTTCAGCATGCTTTAAATATGCTTCATTTTTTGCCATTGTATGATTCAATATTTTGTAGAAACCAGTTTCAGCTGTATAAAGTTTCAATAAATAAATAGGATCTTTAGTCTCTTGTGCTTTTGTACAAAGCCAGTCAATCAAATTTCGACGTTCACAACGTTTGAGTTCTTTTGTATGCATGAATTCATTCACGACAGATTCTAAATCGCACGGTCAAAGATGTCCCAATCGGTTAGTATAAGCAACGCTAGGCGCAGCAAATGTCCATTCAATGTGTGGGTCTGTTGTCATATACCGTTGTTGGCAAGCAACTTGCGGACGTTGAAATGATTCCTTTATTCTTTGGTTTGATGTTTCATCAACAGGCGTCAGCTGATTTTGATTTTTTATTCGACGTACTGCACCTTGTTCTAAGAGCAATTCAACAATTTTCTGATGACCTTGACGACAAGCGACATGAAGTGGTGTTGATCCATCTAGACCTACTAGATTTATCTCATTCAGCGTTGCTGTCTGAAGTAATTGTTTCACTCGATTGACATCACCTTCAAAACAGGCCTGATGCAAGCAGCTCATACTTTTTTAAGATGAAAACATGTCTCTCTTTATAACAATTGAGAATCAGGATGACGAAAACGTGTTTAATGCATTTGTTTCCATGGTATTTCTTTCTTTTCTGTTCCGACAAAAAAATATTTTGATTTTTCTTCTGTATGGATGTAGTTGCGTGTTCAGGATGCGAGATTAAAAGAAGCTATCACTTTTTTTGATCAGACTTCCCGATTAAATCGAAAGACATCTATTATTTTTTTCAGCATATCTTACTCGACTACATTATATTCCATATGTTGTTGTATATTTTATCCTATTCCATTCTGTCATTCTTCTATCTTTCTATCAATATTCGACTGTTTTGTGGTGTGGGTGTACGAGTATGAGGGTGGGTGAGTGTGGATGTTGCCTCTTTCACATTGATACCCACACCCACATCCATATTCATATCCTAGCAAATCACGAAAAACCAATTTTTTGGATTTAAAATGCTAAACTGGAATCCAAATAACGAGGGTGTGGGTGTGGGCGTGGGTGTGATGGTGGGGGTGGGGTGGGTGTAGGGTGTGGGTGTGGGTGTGAGAGAGCACATGAACCACACCTACATCCACGCCCACATCTACACCCACACCGACACCTACACACCCACACCCACACCCACACCCACACACCCACATCTCATACCCACACCCACACACCCACATCCCACACCCACATCCCACACCCACACTCACACCCCACACCCACACGCACATCCACACCCACAGCCACACCCTTCAATATAGTGGGTCCACACGAATCTTACGACATCCATGAAGTTCCAAAATGAGGACAGATACGATGATTTATAAAAGATCGCCGCGTAATTTACAAGTCGGACAGTAATACTCGTTTCTCGAAGCTTCTTGCATGAAACCTATACCATCAACGTATTTCTCATAGTAATCATTAATCTGATACGGTCGCACATCTAAAGAGCAAGAAATAATAGACTTTTACTTGATAAATCTTGTCATCACAAACACAAACCTGAACAGTTGCAACAGCGTATTGTTGCCCATAGATTGCAGTCGTGTCCACATATCTTTTCTTTTGCTTCGATTCGAAAATCGACTTCTTCTGGCGGTGTCATTTCATTAACATCAACAGTTTCGATGTCATCCAGTGTACGACTTCGTGCTGGAATCTCTCTGAGATGAACAATAGTCACACCGCGATTTGCTCGTTTTTTCCCCGTAATCAGAAACTCAGTGCCAGGCAGTAGAAGAACTTCTTCATCAGCCGGCGAAGAATATGAATAATTTTGAATCAATTTGCCGTTAATGCATTCAATATAGAAAAGTGTTCTTTGAGTACTTTTTCCGAGAAACTCTTCTTTGCTTAACACATCGAGTAAACGTGTACAGGAACTAAAACCCCACCAAGTTAGTTTTTTGCCTTTTACGAAGTTACTTGAAATATTACCATTCACACCGCGATAGATGAGGCCGTTGAACGATGGTAATTTTTCTAACGCTCCAATTAAAAGTCTTAAGTAGAGCAAGATTGGTTTTAATTCACTACGATCCGCTAGACGAAGTGTAGAGTTCAGTACATAAAAAAGACTTTCTCGTTCTGTCTTTGACTCCATTGTATAAAGTTGAATCGCTGCACTTTCATCAACGGTAAGATTATTAATATCGTTTCCTTCTGAACGTACCTTTTTAGCTAAAGAAACTTTGTTTTGGATGTGAGCATCGATATTGAATGCTTTATGTTGTTGTATATGAATGATTGCTTCTTCAAGCAAAGGTTGTGTCAATTGTTGATAGCCTTTAACTAGTGATAAGTTATCACCAGTTTCATGCATAAGATCGAAGAACCGAGAGCGACCAGGTAAAGTTGATACTGTTGCTTTCGCCATAATCGAAAATGTCTTCGAAATGTAGAACAAAAAAAAAGGTAATCAGTGAATAGGTAGTGAAAGACCTTTATAAAGGAAAGAAAGGTAATTGTGAAATTGTAATTGTGCAATTCAGGTTGCTTATTAGTTGTGCAAGAATCACAGAAAGAAAATTCAAGTATTTGCTCAAGCATACCTCTTTTAAATTCAAGACAAGCAAATAACAGAACGATCAAAACAATAACTCTACTTTATACAGCAGTATAATTGCGAAAAATAACGAATATGGTACCATACACACAACAATAACTAAAACCAGATCCATAATAAAAAATAACAAAAGTGACAAATAAATTTAAAATTGTTGAATCCCTAAAACATTTTGGTCAAGACAAAATATAAAATGATTCTCATTTTCAGGCTTTTATTCGTGTGATCTTAAAGTTTCATTCGTTTTTATTAATATGAAAGAAGACTGCATTGCAGATTCATCTTAGAAACTAGCTTTAAAATTTGCATACTCACATTGGGAACTAATATATTCCCTAGACTGAAAGGCTAGGGTCTAGAAACCTAAATTCACCTGTGTCTGTGTGTCTGTCCGTCTGTCTGTCGGTAACGCGGTCAAAATGGCCATTTTTTTGGCACATGTGACCATTTTTTTGGCACAAGCGACCATTTTCTTGGCACAAACAGCCATTTTTTACTAAAATTAACTAGGTAACTATGGTACAAATGAGCATGTAACTATGGCACAAACGGTCATTTTTTTGGTACAAACGACCACGTAACTATGGCACAGGTGACCATATAGCAACCATGGTACAAACAACTATTCCGGTAACTATGGCACAGATGACCATATAGCAACCATGGTACAAACAACTATTCCGGTAACTATGGCACAAATGACCATATAGCCACCATGGTACAAACAACTATTCCGGTAACTATGGCTCAAATGACCATCTAAAGACTGATGTAAATGAACCCATAATAATCATCGATAAAATGTGTCAATGAAATAACTATAATTCGGGTAGTTGTGTAAAACGGCTTAGAAAAGCATTTAATTAGTGAGAGTCAGACCAAATGAGCAGTATGGATTTAAAGAAATCGTTTAAATTATTCATTATTGTAGAATTGATTGTGCAATGTTGTATCAATGAATATCTAATTTATTAATAGTTTAGAATTAATGCGCGAATTTAAGCATAAAATATTGATTAATAAAACTCAAATTTTATGAATAATATAATTCATATTTTTGTACGTACAAATAGTGCCAATATAATTACAAAAAAAATCGTATTCTTGTCTAATCTTATTGAGCGCTATTTATATTTATAAAAGCAAAAAAAAATAAAACAAAAACGAGAAAAAAAATTAAATTTGTAAAATGCATTATCTTTACTTCGAGTGAGAATTCTCCAAATTAAGTTTTCTGCTCGCCTAAGATATATTGGTCATATTATCAATTTGGCGTATTACTTTTTTAATGTAGCTTTTTATGCTATTACATTCGTACATGTATTCTATCAGTCTAGGGCTAAGTGAATCGCTTGACGATGAACGTTACTTGTTTATTAGAACATTTTTCAATATAACTTTTTTTCTTTTTCTTTTTCTTTTTCTTTTGTTACAAGTCTAATTAATGAGAATGATTAAAACTGAATGATAATAAATAATCGAAATAATAATTTCATCAATATATAAGATTATTTTTGACAGTTTTAATATATATTCAATTGTTTGATTATCATTTATTAATATTAATTCTAGTTTATTTCTAATATGTTTAATCGTTTATAATATACAGGGTGATTGAAAAGTAACTAGCTATTTTAAATTCTTTATT